CTTGCCAGGTCAAACAGCAATCTCACTTACAAAGGCAGATCAAGAGGTTGTCCCGGGATGGGCAAAAGACATGTCTTCAGGTGTTGCTGGACTCCATTTCCCATCAATCCTAGCCAGAATAAGGGATGGTGAGAAATGCCAGGAGTAGCAGTCCACCTAAGACCTGCATTTTGGCCACACTGCATGATTCACTTATTGTTGTGCTAGTTGTGGCCCCAACTGAAGGGAGGAAATATTTATATTTTAGCCATATAATATGTTTTATGAACTGGCTGTACACCTTTTAAAATTGCATTTTGTGTATTTGAACCACATGATTTGTTTGTTTGTTTGTTTGTTTGTTTGTTTATTTATTTATTTATTTATTTATTCCCCGCCTATCTAGTCATTTCGACCACTCTAGGCGGCTGAACTGATTTTATATTTTTAAACTGTATTTTGTATATTTTACCCATATAATATGTTTTAAGAATTGGTTGTACATTTTTAAACTGCATTTTGTATATTTTAACCATAAATATGTTTTATGAGCTGGTCACCCGACTGAAGAAATTTAAATCTATTCTTGAGCTAAATTTATATCCCACCTGTCCATTCCCCCCCCGCCCTGCCCCGTGAGCTCTGTGAGTTATGGAATTGTGCTTTTCTCCATTGTGTTTTGACAAAAATTGCGTAAGAGGTAAACCAAGTCATTATATTGTGACACACCCAAATCCATAGATGCCCTAGTCCAGGTGGGCATTGCTTAACGAGCGCACCGTACAACGACGAATCCGCATAGTGATCCCCTTTTCGGGATCGCTAATGCGGAGGCATACCGATCGTTCCAGTGGGCAAAACTTGCATAGCGACGATCGGTAAGCGTTTCGCTTACACCGATCTTCGCTTTGTGATGCCCGCGGATCAGCTGTTCGGACGTTCTAAAATGGCCGCCGGACGCCCGAAATGGCTGCGCGCAGCGGTTTCGCGCCCTCCCGTCGCTTATCGAGGGCACGAAAATGGCTGCCGCTATGGAGGAAACTTCGCTGAACAGTAAGTTTAGGGCCCATTGGAATGCATTAAACGATGTTTAATGCGTTCCAATGGGTTTTTATGATCCGTTTAGCGATGTTTTCACATAGCAAGGGTTAATCCGGAACGGATTAACCTTGCTATGCAAGGCACCACTGTATATGTTTTCCCAGCTGCAGTGTATTCGGTTAGCACCAGCAAATGGCCTGGAGTAATCCAGGAAGTAGTTTATTCAGAAATATTGTGTGCTGAGCTTGAGAGGAAAAGGCATACCCTGGTAACTGCTGAGAGTAACAAGTGGTAGCTGTGTGTTCTGGGAGGGGCATTTTGTTTGCTGATTCCTAACAGAGCACATCTGAGGAATAAATGTGTGACAGATCCCAGGGAGCAAGCGACTAAGGAACGCTAATAGGGCTTTGATAGGGGAGGCCCTTAACGAAATTTCTGGTCATATATTAGTGGACTTTGTCAGCATCCTTCAGACCAGACAATACGAAGCAAAAGGCACTTAGATGCAAATTGAAAAAAACTAAACAGGGAACAGGGATTATGGAGGGGAGTGGTGATGACCTGCAAAGTGTGTGCAGCGTTTGTCTTTGTGCCTGAGAACAACGCGACATACATGTGCAGTAAATGTGAAATGGTTGCACAGCGAGAAGAAAAAGGGAGGTAACTGGAGCAGCGAGTGGCCATTTTTAAGGCTATAAAGAGAATATAAAGATTATATAGAGGAAACTCTAAGAAGCATCAGCAACCAAGGGAGGTGCTGGAGGTAGAGGAACAGGAAGACAAAGCAGAGCAAAAGAAGAAGACACTTTGTACCAATGGGACTGCAAAACCACTTTTAAATTTTTAAAGAGAGATCTGGTAGACATCATGCAGAGGAGGTAAAAGGTAAAGGTTAAGGTTCCCCTTGACAGTTTTTGTCCAGTCATGTTCGACTCTAGGGGGCGGTGCTCCCCCCCGTTTCCAAGCCATAGAGCCAGCGTTTGTCCGAAGACAATCTTCCGTGGTCACATGGCCAGTGTGACTTAGACATGGAACGCTGTTACCTTCCCACCGAGGTGGTCCCTATTTATCTACTTGCATTTGCATGCTTTCGAACTGCTAGGTTGGCGGGAGCTGGGACAAGTGACAGGAGCTCACTCCGTCGCGTGGATTCGATCTTACGACTGCTTGGTCTTTTGACCCTGCAGCACAGGCTTCTGTGGTTTAGCCCGCAGCGCCACCACGTCCCCTCCATGCAGAGGAGACCCACCCCCATAGGAGGACATGAGAAGGACTGAAGCGCTCAGCAAAACACAATCACTGAACGCACACCCTACAAAAAGAAGACGAGAAGAGTAGTGATAGTAGGAGACTGCCTACTGTTTGGAATTGAAAAAGAAATATGTCACAAAGATCCTTAGGCTTGCCAGGGATGCTCTCTTCCCAGAGGATGAATTAGGGATGTGACAGAAAAATTACCATCACTCATAAAACATACTGATGCATATCCCTTTCTTCTCATTCATATGGGAACAAAGTGAGACAACCAAGAGGAACGATGAAGAATTAACAGCAGACTTTGAAACTTTTCGAAGGAGACTCAAGGACTTTGGGGGCGAGAAAGTCTTCTTGTCCATCCTACCAGTAGTCAGAAGAAGAATAAAGAAGGAAATGAAAAATACTTCCCTGGCTATGAAGGTGGAGCTGACATGAGGGATTTGGATTTTGCGACCATGGGCTATGCTTTCTGGAAAATGGCAAGTGATGGCTTGCATCTCATGGCTGGGAAGATTATGTTTGGGCACAGCATGAAAATCTTCATCGGGTGGGCGTGAAACTGAATTGAAGACGACAAGAAGAGAGGATGATGGGGTCTCCCAAACCCCCAATTATGAGGCGGCAGCATTACAATGGTTAAGAGAGTGGATAAGATTGGAAAAAATGTTAATACTAATAGAAAGACAAGGAGGAACCTTTGGTGAAGGATTGTTTAATAAAATTATAGGAACTAATATTAATGGACAAACTAACAGACTCATTGGAAGGAAAGAGTAGAATGGAGCACAATGGGGGAAAGTAAAGAATTATCTTAAAGAGAAATGGAAGAAAGATTCCAAACCTATACCAAGTAACTTAGGCTTAAATTAGAAGCAGAACTGCTCTCAACGGAAGTAAAAACAAAGTATAGCAGATTGTTAATATGGATATAAAATAAGAATTAAGAAAGGTATTATTAAGATTGCAAAGAAAATGTCTGGTGAAAAATAAAGAAGTAAAAATGTCAAAGACTTAACTGTTTTGCGAAAGAGATATGTGTTAATGTTATGTGTTAATGTTGTGATAATTATTTACTTATTTTTATAATTTCTTTTTAAAATGCAATAAAGATTAAAAGTAAAAAAAAACAATGTAGAAGTGTTGGGGACAGGACTGCACCTTCAAACTGATTTTTAAAAAAGCAAGATAAAATGAATGCACAAATTAACTTTTTTAAAAAGTCAGAGATCTCTCTTTACTTTGAATGAACTCAGATCTCCAGGTTGATATGAAATGCATCCAGGAGTACTTGGCTGAAGAGCTCTTGGAACCACTGTTTATTATTTGGAGGACAGCTAATGATGTTGTCCCTATAATCAAAAAAAGGCAAAAAGCAGAATCCTGGGAACGACAGACCAGTCAGCCTGACATCAATCCCAGGAAATTCTAGAGCACCTTATAAAATCATCATTCTCCAAGCACCTTGAAAGTAATGCAGTAATAACTAGAAGCCAAAATCTAATTTTTAAAATCAAGTAACCTCTCTGATAGATGGTGGGAATGCTGTAGATGTAATACATCTTGACTTCAGCAAAGCTTTTGACAAAGTGCCCCATGAGTACTCAATGGCCTTATCTACTCCTTCTAACTCCATTGGTCTATGGTTCTGTGTTATTATCTATTGTATTGCAAGGCACTCTGTGGTTGGTTCTGAATGGCCAATTAAGACTTTTTTTGGCAGGCAGTGCATATTTTGTATGCAGTCTTGTTAACTTCCACTTTAAGAATTCAACAGCATTGGAAAATCCTGCTGGGATGATAGTTCCAAGGGAGAGTGTAACACTGCTTTAAATTAAATATTGTAATTAAGAAAGCATGTCAGTCTGGTTTAAGTACAGTGGTGCCCCGCATCCGGCCGCCATTTTCACGCCCTCGATAAGCGAGGGCAGGGCGCGAAAATGCTGCGCGTGGCCATTTCGGGCGTCCGGTGGCCATTTTGGAACCGCCGAACAGCTGATTGAAAAAAATCGCTAAGCGAAAATCGGTAAGCAAAACGCTTACCGATCGTCGCTAAGCGATTTTCACCCATTGGAACCGTCGGTATGCCTTCGTATTAGCAATCTAAAAAACTGGATCATTATGCGAATTCGTCGTTATACAGTGTGCTCGTTATTGCGAGGCACCACTGTATGCTGATTTCTGGACATATTTAAGACTGGCAGCCTCTTTGACAAGATACAAATAGGTAAGTGGTGATATACAACTGCATTTTGAAGTGCAGGTGTTTATCCTGACAGTCCTCGTTATTTCACTCGCCTCCAGGAAGTTCCAAAAATGCAAGCAATTGCCCTGATCCATGTCAACCAGTTGCTTGCATTTTTTGAACCCGCTTGGAGGGGGTAGTTTTAACAATAAGGACTGTCTGGATGAACACCTGCGCTTCAAAATTCGGTGCCACATCACTGTTTACTGTATCTTGCCAAGAGACTGTCAATCTTAAGTATTCAGTAATCAGCATATTTAAATCTCTAGATTGACTTGCTCCCTTGATTACAATATTTAATTTAATGTGTTACACTTCACCTTGAAATTTTCTTCCCAGCAGGATTTTCCAGCGCTGTTGAGTTTTGAAAGTGGAAGTTAACAAGGCTGCATACAGAATATGCTCTGCCTATAAAAAAGGTGATAAGATGGAGAAAAATGTTATGTTGCATTTCTTCTAAGAAATTTATGTCCTATTTTAGGTAACCTGGAGAATGGTGATGAGCATGAATGTGCTGATTATCCTGCAAAATTGGTTCAGAGGAGTGCCGAACTGCATTACGGGTATTTACCCAGTTAACTAATTTTTTGAAGATACTGACATAGCTTTTATTTTCTTCCTGCTGAGAACTTAGTACATGGTTAAGAACAAGCCAATGGTTTGACAGTTTTATGTTTGAGCATTACCCCCACATCACATGTTCCTGTTTCCTTATTCTTCCTTTTTGTGCATATTTCATTGTGGACTCTTCTATCTCAGTGGGGAAACATATGATTTGTATGCAGCAGAATTTTTTTGCATGCTAGAATTGGGAATTGTGTTCAAGCTGTGATTTCCATATGTGGTTTTTCAGGCAGTTTGAATAATCAATGCAGAAAGAAATTGGAAGAAGTAGGGGAAGTAAGTGAGCCAGGGACTTGAAAAGAAATGTTATGGTATGCTGTAGATTTTGGAATTTTGTGACCACCTGATTTGATTCGCAGCCTGTATTAGGTTTCAAATCACAATCTGTTGTGCTCAGCAGTGCTCACACAAGAGTTGCGGGTTAAGTTGGGAGTTCTCTGTTCATACTGGATGTGATGTGAGTCACATTCCAACCCGGAGACCTCCATTCTTCCTTCCTTCCTTCCTCTGGTTCTGCCTCTCCTGGTCCTTCTATGGTTCACTGTGAAGCCACTTCCTCATTTAAAGCTTCAGACTACAACATTTCTCAAAAAGCTTTATATAGAAATATAACATGGAAAGGCACTGAACAGTCTAAGAGCACATACCATCAAAAGTTTGAACAGTAATTTTGCAGAATACGTGATCATTCACATGTCAGAGTGATTCCATAATAGGGATCACCACCTTTCCCTACCTATCCGTTAATCTTTTTACTTTCAAGTAACACATTTTCTCCTCTCTGGTCACATATGGTTTATACTATTGGCATGATAAAGTCCACATTCAATTAAGTAATTAGCAGCACTAAGCTTTTGCTTCACAACCAAAGGGCCTTCCCATATGCTGTTAAGCCTACTGTGTTTGACAGAATTCAGGAGTAGCACCCAATCCTCCACAATCTTTAGCTTACGTTACTTTATTATTACAATCTGAAGATAGATTATAATAATACAAACTACAAGACAAGATTGTATTTGTCTTCAGTGTGGAAGGGATGGTCACTCTCGAATTGGCCTTCTCAGCCACACTAGACACTGTTCCAAGTCCTCCATACAGAGCACATTACCATAGTCTCTTGGGACTGAAGGATGCCTAGTCTAACTTTATTATTATTATAACAATAACTCAGCATTATTAAATATACCAGACTAAAATAGAATAACAGATTGCATTAAAATCAAGGTACTTGGCTTTTGCAAGTCCCCTGAGCATGAACATCACACCCCAAATGCCTGTGTCACCAAACCACCACCTGCAGACATGCCCCCTGGTCTTTACAAGGGTGTATCACAACTAACCACACAGGAAAAAGCCAGTTTGACTTGTTTCTGATTGAAAAATGGCAGAGAGAGAGAGAGAAAAGCCACTTTGGGAGCAAAAAAGGACTGGATGAATTCAAATCAGCCTTTGCATCATGCAGCTATGAAAAATACTTCAAATTCTCCCATTTTATAAGCAGAACAAATCCTGCTGTATTTGATCATGTAGTCACACTTTTAGTTAGCACCAGGCACAGTTCCCGGAAGTCCAATATAGCAGTGGTCCCCAACCTTGGGCCTCCAGATGTTCTTGGACTTCAACTCCCAGAAATCCTGGGGACCACTGCAATATAGCACAGAGCTGTAGTTACTTCTTAGTGGAAGTTTAGCTTAGCAGTTGGGGCTCTTCCAGTGGTCTGGACTACAACTCTTAGTTGCTATACTTGGGGGGAATTTAACCAAACATTAAGAATGTCTCTCTCTCTCTCTCTCTCTCTCTCTCTCTCTCTCTCTCTCTCTCTCTCTCTCACACACACACACACACACAAACACACACACCCACACACACACCCTCAGGAGCACGACTCCACTTTTTCCTCCTCTCATCTCACAGGGGTTACCAATCGTCTTTCTCTCTCTCAGACACCTGGGGCCAGATGACAACAGCCGGCCGAATTAAAAGTATCACCTGCTCCTGCAGTTATATTGTTTCTATGGCTGTGCGGTCTTTTCTCGATTTTTCTTGAGGGAACCTAGTTGTCTGCTGCTGGTTGGCTTTACGCCCTGATTCTCTTCAGGACCTTTGGGTTCCTGTCAGGTTCACCGGTTCATTCTATTTAAGTACTATAAGTGGGCTATTTCATAAAACGTCTTAAAACAAATTCTACAGGATTTTTCTGTCTATGCTGTAACCGCTTAGGTTCATAAGCTCCTAGACAGGTAGTCAGTATTTTTGATGGTTAAATGCTGGAGAAGCCGGATCTGCTTAAATCTGAGCACCTTGCTTGACGCTGGCCTTTGGATTGGAAGAATTCAGGGCTATATAGTGGATAAAGAACACTAATAATAACAGCACATTAAAAAAATGTGAGCAAAGTGTGGCCAGTGGCCCGTGTGTAGTCCTGATACCCCGAAGAACTGCCCCAAATACCACCTAGTGCAGGGGTCTCAAACTCAATTTATCTAGGGGCCGCTAGAGGCAGAGTCTGGCTGAGGCTGGGCCGCATCAGATTTTCCGCCAAGCAGAGCAAGAGCACGGGGAAGTTGCCCAGGAGTTTCCTTAGCCCGGCTGGGGGTCCAAGAAGGAGGAGGGGTGTGCGAGCCCTCTTCCTTGGAAGAGGCGGCGGTGGCAGCAGCTGCTGTTGGCGGCTTGGAGACGGGAATGAGCTCCGCTCTCAGGCATTGCTCGGCAGCAGCTCAGGTGCTTGGGGAGAGCCAGCAAACGAGGCAAGGGTTCTTTTTTTACTCTTGACAGCAGAGGACGTGTGGGCGCTTCAGGGGGGCATGAACGGCGGGGGCCACAAACTATCATCCAGCGGGCCGCAAATGGCCCCCGGGCCGCATGTTTGAGACCCCTGACCTAGTGCCTTCGATGGTGGGTGCTGTTGGTACAGTATTTAAATGTAATTGTTCTGGGAAGCCCAATTACATTTTTGTGGGAAGCCACAAAAAAAAATCCATGGAGGGCTGAAGTGGGAAAAAATGCCTCATCATGCTGACCTTTGGATGCCAGAATACATTGTTGGGTCTCTTCTTCAGTTCGTTGCCTGTCTTATTCACTTCGTTTTTGTTCGTTTTTCAGAAGCAGGGTAGAAGTTAGCCCTTCTGTTCCAAATAACACCTTAACTGGTTTGCTGCCGTCCGCCAACATGCCCGATTCAATGACCGTTGGTAAGTGTCTGTTGAATTAGATGTGGAAGGTTTGGTTTTTTTTAAAGTTTGAGCCACGCAAATTCTCTGTGAGAAATCTTTGATTTTGACTCCAGACAGTATGGCCAATGGTTAGAAATCCTGGGGGCTGCAGTTTTAAAACATCTCGTGGGTGTCAAGGAAGACTGCAATAGAAACTATCTGTTCATAATCTTCAAGACCCCCCAGGAGCACAGTTTTGACTTCACTGGAACATCCAAATCTGAAATGTTGTTTTTATTATCATGGACATGTGCTATCAACGTGTCTTTTTTAAAAAAAATAATAGTAAAATATGGTGGTTGGAAATAAGCAGGTATTATGGGTAAAATCAAGGTTTGCTTTGTGTTTTCACACATTCTTGCATCATTTACTCTGCCCTGGTCTGCTGTTGGAGTTGTATTTTCCATGTTGCATCTAACTATAAATTGCCATAAATATTTCAGTATTTTAAGTGTTAAATGACCAATCTTCCAGTATCTTGCTATTCAATATCTATAAGTGCTGAAGTATGGCTTGGTAGAAAGCTTTAAAATCTGGAGTCTGGAATTTGCTTTGTCAGTCTAACCTAAAAGGAGCTCAAAGATTGTAAGAAAAAAAGAACCCTTTGGAAGAAAGATTCCCTTTTGACAAGTGTGATAAATTACACAAGAGTCTTGTCTAGACAGAGAAAGGTTTAAAGTGCAATAATTTTGGTTGTCAGTAGAGGGAGCAATTGCTTTTGTATTCAGGAGCTGCTGGGCTGTTTCATAAAACTTCTTACAGCAAATGCTGTAATATTTCGCTGCACTTTCAGCTACACTTAGTGCTGACTTAGAACATATACAGATTGAAGGACATCTCTGTTCATTACTGAGAGATACAGTATAACATGAATATATTGTTCTGTGCTGTTAAGTTGGAACTGACTAATAGGGCTTTCAAGGTGAGATATTTAACGAGTGATTTTATCGGTTCCAAAACCACAGTGGGTTTCTGCGGCTAAAGGCTCCTGAGTCATAGTCCATCATTCTACACCACACTGGGCATCTGTGGATGTATCAGGAATGTATTAACTTAGGAACTGTTCACTACATACCTTCTGTTTGTGTGTGTGTGTGTGTGTGTGTGTGTGTATCTATCTATCTATCTATCTATCTATCTGTCTGTCTGTCTGTCTGTCTGTCTGTCTCTATCCATCTGTCCATCCGTCCATCCGTCCATCCATCCATCCATCCATCCATCCATCCATCCATCCATCCATCCATCCATCTATCTATCTGTCGGTCGGTCGGTCGGTCGGTCGGTCGGTCGGTCGGTCGGTCGGTCGGTCGGTCGGTCGGTCGGTCGGTCGGTCGGTCGGTCGGTCGGTCGGTCGGTCGGTCGGTCGGTCGGTCGGTCGGTCGGTCGGTCGGTCGGTCGGTCGGTCGGTCGGTCGGTCGGTCGGTCGGTCGGTCGGTCGATCTATCTATCTATCTATCTATCTATCTATCTATCTATCTATCTGGGAAACAAACACAATATATATATAAACACAAGGCAGTATAACATGCATCTGAAAATTCAGAGGTTATTTGGCTTAGTAAATGGGCATTTACCAGCTCATAAGTAGGTTAAAGCTTCTTGGCTTTGGGGGAAAAAAGAATGAGTCTGGGTCAGGGTGCGTCATCTGTCATTATGAGGACAAAAGCTTGGAAGGGTTTTTCCCTCCATTTCTTACTAAAAGGATGCTGATTCAACGAAAGTATAAGGTGGGAAAGGCAATCCTTCATCCAGTGGGAAACTCTGGAAGCCTCTACCACAAGATAAATTTATGGAGGAAATAGCTATCAGTACCTTCTAATCATGATTGCTGTATGTCAGCAGGAGTGTGCCTCTGACTACCAGTTGCTTATATCATACTGGTGGGCTTCCCTTGTGGGAACCAAATATTAGCCTAGACCAGTATCCAGTGTAATCAGTCTTCCAATGTTAGATACACTTGGATATATTTCACTGCGTACTGGTGTGTGCTCCTGTGGTAAAAAGGTAAAGGTTCCCCTTGACAATTTTTGTCCAGTCGTGTCCGACTCTAGGGGGCAGTGCTCATCCCCGTTTCCAAGTCATAGAGCCAGCGTTTTGTCCGAAGACAATCTTCCGTGGTCACATGGCCAGTGCGACTTAGACACGGAACGCTGTTACCTTCCCACCGAGGTGGTCCCTATTTATCTACTCGCATTTGCATGCTTTCGAACCGCTAGGTTGGCAGGAGCTGGGACAAGCGATGGGAGCTCACTCCGTCGCGTGGATTCGATCTTACGACTGCTTGGTCTTCTGACCCTGCAGCACAGGCTTCTGCGGTTTAGCCCGCAGCGCCACCACGTCCCTCCTGTGGTAACCAGGCAGAAAACAAAACAAACAAAAAACACTTCTGAAGTTCACTTGACACACATAGTAATATGAACACATGATGAGCAGATGTGTATTTAGCATACATTCTTCTGGAGACAATGACGAATGACTGTATTCTAAATATATGGTCTGGTCTGGTGTAAGGTATCACTTAATATGTTGTATTTCATATCATATTTTTGTCAGTAGTGAACTCAGAGCATCTTCACAGCATGAAAAATATGAAATGCAGACACCTTTTTCGAGTCATCTTCTGATTATGAGATTTCTTCCCCATTGAGGCATTTTTTTGACCCCTTGTTTTTTCTCTGGACTAAATCATTCTTTTCTAGAAGGCTTTGGGGAACAAATGGTTACTGAGAGAACTATTATCTTTCGTTAGTCCAGTTGTTAAATAGTTATCCCTTTAAATACTGGAGCAACGTAATTAGATTTAGTTCTGTGTTATGTAATACACAAACACAACACTGACACCATTTTAGAAGGGGCTTTTCTTGCAGGCGAGAAAGAAGTCAGAATAATCCTTTGGTTTTTTTTTAAGCGCTTGTATAAAAAACTGTGTCCAGGATCTGCTGGGGATCTTCCACTGACTGGATTCCTTTACATAGAGATGCCAGGGATTGAACCTGGGACCTTTTGCACCCGGAACACAGGCTCCCTTATTAAGCTACTGCCCAGTGACAGGAGCCCCAGCACGCTAGCAATCAGTTGATGTTCACAAGAGGGCTACAGCTGCCTGTTAACTCAGGGGACATATTTAATTGATATTTTTTAAAGCCATGTAATGAATTAATTGACTTAAGAATTATAGTCTGAGTTCTTATTAGTCATGTGGATGTTCATCTGGTTTTCCTGTGTGCTGCAATTGGCAGTATTTTGGTGTAGACACTGGGAGATGCAAAAGTTTAAGTAAAAGGTCCTGAAGGTCTTAACTACAGCACCCTCACTGAATCAATGGTAACTTGATAGTAAGTGCTTGCATGAGCTCCATGGATTTAAGGGGTTTATGTTCATAGAATCATAGAGCCATGGAAAAGTGAAGTTGGAAGGAGCCTACAAGACCATCTAGCCCAACCCTCTGCTCAACGCAGGAATGTAATCAAAGCATATCTGCCAGGTGATTATCCAAGTTTTTCTTGAATGCCTCCAGTGTCGGAGCATTCACCACCTCCCAAGGTCACTGGTTCCACTGTCGTACTGCTCTAACAGTTAGGAAAAAAGTGGACCGCTATCCGATCTGCATTGATTTGGATTCCTGCCTTGAGCAGTGGGTTGGACTCAATGGCCTTATAGACCTCCTCCCACTCAGTTATTCTATGATTCTATTTAAAAAAAAAAGATTGTCACTGGATCAGTGGCGGTGGTGATCCAGAGGCAGTTCCTGAGCTATTTAAAGTTTCCAGTACCAAGATACCAATGGCAAAGGGAGCATCATGCAAGGGTATTTTATGGGAAATTATCTTACACAGGCCGGGTAGGTGGGGCTCGTCAGCCATGGAAGGAAGCCCATCTAGGAGAAGGAAACCTCCGATTTCAAACCTCCACTGCCTTGTGGCTATATCCACCATTGGAAAAGGCTTCAGGAGTTAACCTCGAGGCAAAATCTGGAGCTGGAGTCCCGAAGGCAGCTTGTGTCGTTCTGCCAACTCCTGCGACGTTGCTGGAACCAGTTGTATTGGCTCTTGCCTTTCCATTGGACCATTTCAGCAACGTGGAGAGGGGGGATTTGCTGCTTGGGTAACAGCCTATCCTCCATATTACCTTACCCGGGCTTCATGCTCTGGAGAGGACACTCCTCGATTCAGAGCATGTTACCATAGTCTCTCGAGACTGAAGGATGCCTATGATCTTACACAGAGTATGATTTTGTAGCTCAGGTTATTTGCACCGACTATTAGCTGCTCTCCAGAGCTACTGATGTTTTTTTCCCCCCTAGGAACTGCCTGAAGATACTGGGGATTGGATTCAGGACCTTTCTTGTGCAAAGCTATCAGAAAGAATGAAAATGGATAATAAATTAATAGGATTGGTTAAAGAACCTACGGAACTAGACAAGATAATATGGGGAAAAGAAAATCACCAAATTTCTATATACTATTATTGGAAAGAAATATGGAACAGGAAGTAATTAAAGAAAATACGATAAAATGGATGCAGGAATTATGTAGAGCAGTTCAAACGGAGGATTGGTTTAGAGCATGGAATGATAACCAAAAATATATTAATAAGTACAGATCTGAAAGAAAATTATATGAAAATATTATATAGATGGTATATGACACCGGAGAAATTGGCAAAGGTGAAGAAAAATGAGAAAGAGAAATGTTGGAGATGTAAGACAATAAAAGGAATACTATATCATATGTGGTGGGGTTGTAAATTTATTAGGAAATTTTGGAAAGAAATACAGTAGAAAAAAATAATCACTTGCCTTATCACGGCTGTATGTTCTTCCAGTTTTGCTTTTGCCGAAACTGGATAGTCATCTCCTTTAAAGCATAGCTATTGCTCAGTCTTAAAAGTGTTAATGGAATTCTGTTGAATAAAATGTGTGATTCTAATGTTCTTGCAAAGGATCACTTTTAATGGATGGCTTTCTGGCCCTCTATGGCTAGAGAATGGCTAATGAACACTGGGGCTGACATCATGTTGCGTAGCAACTCAGTTCTGTAAACATATAGCAGGTGTAAAATACGAAGTTCAGTGTGATAATAAAAGCTACAAGCCACATGGTGACAAGTGCTTTTTAAAAAGCAGTGTGTTTTGAAGGCAGTAGTTGCAACACATGTGGGTTAAAGCTGAATTTTCTTCTACTAATTTATTTTCCTATCAAATCTTGAAAGAAACTTCCCTCTGAATTTGGATGCAGTTTTCTTAAAGCGTCTTACGGAACCTTAAATCTTGAGAATTGTAACAGCTATCCTGGTCTTCATATTGAACCACTTAAAAAGCATTTTTGTTTAGCTCAGAGAATATATGGCTCTTGAAATAAGAGCTGGTGAAGATTACTATTTCGATTATAACTCCTGGAATTTCCAAGCCAGCATCACCACTGGTAGTTGTAGTCCAAGAAAATGTGTCCTGGTTCTGCTCCAGATGTTCATGTCATCCTTGACCATCCTTGATGGTTGAATATATAGCAACCGCTGGGGGAGCACACATTCCCCAGCCCTGGTTATTCATTTCATTTTATGTTTATATGCAAATTTTAAAAAATATTCACAAAAGTGCAACATAATTTCCTTGCTGCTGTAACCTTTTGTGGACAAATGCCAAGATGGTGTAGCTTTTCATCTAGCACTGGGAGAATTTGGACTTACTTCTTCCCCCCTCTGCAGCCCCTTAAGTCACCAAAATATGTCCCACTGAGTTTCCTGACCCTCCAGGGTAGGCTTGTAGGGTGCATAATGGACAACAGGAGGAAGAGTGATAGCTGATTTTGGTGGATGAAGTGGGTTCCTGTGGATGTACACCAATGGATCCTCACCAAAGCGGCCATGGTACTAACACAATGATGGTAACCATGAAAAGTATCCCACTGCAGTGTTTTTGGTGACATGTTAGAAAGTCGTAGTTTCTGTCAATCTGTCTTCGATTTTTTTGCATGCTCAAATGTACAGCCGGGGGTTGGATACAAATCTGAAGAGCCATATTAGTGTCCCCTGTTAGGTAACAGAAGATTTACAGTAAGGGGTGCTTGCAGACAGCTTCATTCATTCATTCATTCATTCATTCAATCATTCATTCATTCATTCATTCATTCATTCATTCATTCATTCATTCATTCCACTTTTATACTGCCCAGTTAGTGCAAGGCAATATTCCAGACGGTTGACCACAGTAAAATAAGTACACTTGTAAAACAGTAAGGGACGTGGTGGCGCTGTGGGCTAAACCGCAGAAGCCTGTGCTGCAGGCTCAGAAGACCAGCAGTCGTAAGTTCGAATCCACGCGACGGAATGAGCACCTCTCGCCTGTCCCAGCTCCCGCCAACCTAGCGGCTCGAAAGCATGCAAATGCGAGTAGATAATTAGGGACCACCTCGGTGGGAAGGTAAACAGCGTTCCGTGTGTAAATCACACTGGCCATGTGACCACGGAAAGATTGTCTTCGGACAAACGCTGGCTCTATGGCTTGAAGAGCGGGATGAGCGCCGCCCCCTAGAGTCGGACATGACTGGACAAAAATTGTCAAGGGGAACCTTTACCTTTTACCTTTAAGGGAAGTAATACTTAAAAAAAAATAACAGCAAATTCAATAAAACAGCATAAATAGCACACCAAGGACAACAGGAATTGTCAGAAAATAGGGCAGATTTGACAGATTCATTAGAAGTTGCTAGTAAAAGCTCCTTTTGAGGGACATCACTTTAAGCAGCCTCTTGAAGGTAAGAGAGGGCCAGGTGCAGCTCAAGTGGGAGCCCATTCCAGAGGGCTGACGCCACCACAGAGGCCTCCTCAGCGGGCCAACCTGTAGAAGCATTGCCTGTGGAGATCTACTGGTGTGAGTAGATGTTCTTGAGGAAAGGTGCTGTAACATGTACCGAGAGCCCAAACTGATTGAAGGCTGACCTGGATATGGCTATAATCTGGGTGTCCCCTGAGAGAGCTGGTTCCAGGAACATTCCCTGGATCGAACTTTCGAACTCGATCCCTAAGTGGGAAAAGTTAACCTGTCCAGTTTAGGGAGATAGTCTTCCAACCTGTCGGAAAGGTTTCCCAGAAGAAGGATCCCCATCTTGAGATCCTTCAGTCTGTTTGCCTTGGTCCATTCCAGAATGAAGGTCAGCTAGCACTCAAGCACCCAGACAGCATCCACTGCAGAGGGTCTGAAGGAGACACAGAGTTGCCTGTCATTGACATATTGATGCCATTGCACTCCAGGTCTCTGGATGACCTCTTCCAAAGGCTTTGTGTAGAGACTAAATAGCATTGGGGAGATTGACAACCCACAGTTTGTGGGTCCAGTGGGTCAACAATTCCTCCCCAAGCAGCACTGGAACCAGCTGAATGCCAGCCCACTGATCTCCACGCCCAGCCGTCCGTCCAGGAAGATACCATGGTCAATGATATCAAAAACCACCGAGAGATCCAGCAGCACCTTGCAGTGCAGCCAGGACTGTCTTGGTGCCGTGCCATGGCCGGAACCCGGACTGGATTGGGTCAAGGCAATTTTCCTCCGCCAGGAACATCTGGAGTTAATCCACCGCCCACCCCCCGCTTGAGAACCTTGCCCATAAAGGGGTTATTGGGGATGGGCTTACAATTATTTAGGTTATCCACTGCCAGTTTTGGCCGCTTCAACATGGACCATATAATAGTTTCCTTCACATGTGTGTGTGTGTGGGAGATAACCCTCCCTCAAGGAGGCATTTAGGATATTAATGGCCAGTCTGTGGTAACCCCGGTGGCTGCTTTTAAAAGCCCTGATGAGCAAAGGTCAAGCACAGAGATGGCCTGTGTGCATATATGAGTGTGAATGTGTAAGACAAAGATGAGGGGGGGGGAAAGAGTTTTCAAATAAATAGAGAAATAAGGGCCATTTCTTGCAAGGAGCATCATACTGTTCTCCCTACTCATCTGAGAGTAGTTACTTGACCAGGATATTTCTGGATGTTTGCTGAGAGATGCTTTCACTTTATGCTCTTTCTCAATAGCTGACGGCAAACTATCCTTATCTAAGTCTCATTTACGAACTGATACTGTTTTAAATTAACTTGGTCCAGTAGAGGTGTTGAGATTCACTGGATGTGTCTTTCTCTGAGCACATATTCTTCTGTTCTTGTGTTCCTGGTTCTACAGATAAAACTGTCAAATGCAGCTATTTCGAAATAAGATATTGTTAGATTTACCTTTGCTTTCAGACAGTCTGTTTTCCGCAGCAGTCTGGTTGCTTATGAGGAATAGTAATGGAAGTGCCTGACATCCACCATTAAAGGAGAAAATGCTTTTTGTCTCTTGCTCTTAATTTTTAAATATTTCTAATCTGTAGCACGATTTCCAGATATTTGGGGAGCTACGGCTCTCCCTCACCTCTCACCCCTGATCTTGGTGGCTATGAATGAAACCACTTGTTCTGTAGCCTGAATCTACAGGGAGAATTCCTGTGGTGTACAAGTTCATGCAAACCACCACGCAAGTCTCTATTTGTAAGCGTGGTGAATTTAAGAGCTTTTCTGCACTGTTAATAAAAAGAATAATCGACCTATTTTGTCCATATCTCTTATCTCTGCTCTTCTCAGCTGAGCTCCGAGAAGCTATTGTGGCCATGATGAACAGAAAGGATGAACTGGAGGAGAAGAACAGGTAAAAGAGTAGAGTGACGGACAACCCTGTTTTCAGTTCAAAAAAGCTCTGGAAGTTTCTTTGTGATATCCGTAATTGTAGTACATCCTCTCCTCCACCCATTTGCCCTTGGAATTCAAGATGACACTTCGGGCATCCATTGAAGTGGGCTGCAGTTGACAAATGCTCCTGCTAGAAACATATGTGTTAGTCTTTAAGTTGCCATTCCAGCCTGCTCTTGTGAAGGGCAATACATGTTGGTGGAATTTGCAGAAATCTGTTTGCTAAATATGCCAGATAAGAGAGATGGTTAGATAGGCACTGTATTCAGTATCATTGCTACTTTATGAAATGTACTGTGGTGCCCCGCATAGCGAGGTTAATCCGTTCTGGATTAACCGTCGCTATGGGGAAACATCACTAAACGGAACAGAAAAGGCCATTGGAATGCATTAAACTTAGTTTAATGCGTTCCAGTGGCTTCTGTACTCACCGTTTAGCAAAGTTTCCCCCATCCGGCAGCCATTTTCACGCCCTCGGTAAGCGGGGGCAGGGCGCGAAACCGCCCTTTTGGGTCGCACGGCGGCCATTTTGGAGCCGCCGATCAGCTGATTTCCTGACATCGCAATGCGAAAATCGGTAAGCGAAATGCTTACCGATCTTCGCAATGCGAGTTTTGCCCATTGGGGCTGCCAGTATGCCTTCGCATTAGCGATCCCAAAAAAGGGATCGCTATGCGAATTCGTCGTTGTATGGTGCGCTCGTTATGCGAGGCACCACTGTAGTTTCATAACTTCCTGAACATAGCCAAACAGCCCGAAAAACCTACAACAACCATCATGTCCCCGCTGTGAAAGCCTTTGAGAATACATTGTAGCTTGTTTCTTTGCCTATTTGTTTGCACTTTCTGTGTGTGCATTACGTGATCACGTTTTTAATAGTTTCCTTCCATCTTTGAAGTGTCAATATTCAAACTTCTCTGGAAACTGTTTTCTGTTCATGTATGAATTTGTTCGACTGTTCTTCCGTATCTCATGTGGGCCACTGATTTTAGTGATTTGAACATAATAAATAAAGCAAAGCCTGCTGCTTATAGACTGCCCGTAGCCGCTTAAAGCACTCTCTGGGTGGTTTACAAGTTAATTATAGAATACAATAATAATTGAGTTAGAAGGGCGACACATTGTTCCCCCGCTCCCCCCAGCAAGCTTCAGGGGTATGGAAGGCTGAGTCCACCTTGAGCCCGCTGCTTGGGATTGAACCCGAGTCGTGAGCCGAGTTTTGTCTGTAGTACAGTGGGGTCTCTACTGAAGAACTTAATCCGTATTGGAAGGTGGTTCTCAAATTGAAAAGTTCTTATGTTGAATCTGCATTTCCCATAGGAATGCATTGAAAACCATTTAATCCGTATCTGCTCTTTGGAAGGGAATGCTTGGAGTTGCAGTCGAGCAGCACCTCGAGCCCCACACTTTGCCCATCCCAGTCTAAGATCTTGTCCCCGAAAAGTTTTCCCATTGTTACCTACAAATATTTAACCAGTGAAAGGATCTGTGAATCCGTGAAAGGATCTGAATGCCCGCCTTCCATGGTGACCCTGTGCCAGGAGAAGGACAGATGTGGCCCTGTGAGGGGTGACTCGCCAGAACACCCTTTGGTGCCCTTTGGGCATACTTTGAACGGTTCCGCTTTGATAAGTGGGGTGAATGGAAATGGGCTGAGGCTGTGTCAAAAATGCCGCACTGTTTTTCCTCAGTTCTTTGCGGAATCTCCTTGATGGTGAGATGGAACATTCAGCGGGGCTGCGTCAGGAAGTTGACAGCCTGAAGAAGAAGGTTTCAGAGCAGGAAGAGCGCTACACGGGGAAGATCCAAGCTTTAGCCAGGTAGGGAACTCAACGAGGTGATGCTTTCAGTTCTAGTAGGTTACCTGGTGTTTTGGAAACGTCTTTAATCGCTCTTCCTTAGGGGGGGACGTCTCCACTCAAGACTCTTGACATGCCAAGGAAGAGTTAGAATAGGGATGAGCATCAGTGGCCCTTGGATGACAACTCTCTTCCATTCTGGCCAGCTTGGTTAAGGAACATGGAAGTTGCAGTTCAGAAAATATGTGGAGAGCCACAGGTTATGTACCCCTGAATTAGAGTATATCTCTACTGCAGAATATCTTGGGGACGTGGTGGTGGTGCGGGTTAAACTGCAGAAGCCTCTCTGGTGCAACGTCAGAAGACCAGCCATCGTCAGAAGACCCCCTACTTGGCCATGGAAATTCAGTGGCGTGTGTGTGTGGAACTGGTAAAACCACTCCTTAAATATCTCACTTACCTTGAAGGCCCTATTAGGGTTGTTATAAGTCAGTCCCAACTTGACAGCACGGAACACATACACGATGAAGTATCACCTGCTCCTGCATTTGTTTTGTTTTAGAGACCAGACAGCCCCTTTCTGTCCCCCTCTCCCCTGGTCACGTCAGTGTTCCTGCAAAGAAATATCTCTTGAATTCTCCCCGTCTTTCTGGTTGACATTGTCCTGTTGATGCACCACTGCTCACTATTGCAGTCTTGTTTTTGTCTTGAAATTGGTTCCAAAGAACTGTCACGGCTCACCTTTGCTGATTTATATCTGCAGTAGCAACTCCATCTGTACTCATTTCTCCTGGAATTCTTCCTGTGTTACTGCAGAACACAGGTATGCAGCCAGTCCTCCCAGAAAGTCTGCAATATTGCGCATTGTTAATACAAATAGGTCAGCTGTCAGCCTTGATGCAGCAGCAAATATATCCAAGTCTTTGCTGCAAAAATCTAAATAACAAAGAGAGACTTGGGCATCAGGTTACATTTTCTGTACACAGGAGAGAAACACATTCTTTCATGTCACACGTGCTAGGTTGAATATTGGCTCTTGTGACATTATCAACAAGTCCCTTATGTTGATTGTGTTCCAGTTTCGGGTTGCTTGAAATAGTGGGACCTTTTCTTCCAACTGCCGCAAATTAGACAGTCCGGAGTTTGAATCTCTCCTTTTTCATATTCAAAGATTGGAACAGCAACTTTTCCCCCCAGACCGCATGCCATGGTCATTGTGACCAGTAGGCCCATGGGTTAGGACAGTGGTCCCCAAACTTGGGCCTCCAGATGTTCTTGGACTTCAACTCCCAGAAATCCTGGCCAGCAGAGGTGGTGGTGAAGGCTTTTGGGAGTTGTAGTCCATCTGGAGGCCCCAAGGTTGGGAACCACTGGGTTAGGATGTTCTGAGAATTGTAGTCAAAAAAAGTAAGTTTCCCCATCTATGATCATATTCTCATTTGAAGTCCATCAGGGTGTAGCACATATATCCAGCCAGCTGTCCATGATTAGTAAATAGAAGATAAACCGCAGTTCCAGTTTTAGGTGTAACATAAGACTTTTTCCTTAAGAGAATGAGCACCACAGTGCCACAACCCTGTGCATTGTGCAGGGGAAAAGAGAACTGCACAGTTCAGAAATCCAGAGTTGCTAACATCTGAAGTGGCACGAGGTTTCAGGCCATTGCAATTATGTAACGATACAGCTATAAATCTCTTCTAATTAAAAGCTTCTTTGATCTTTGCATTCAGATCTATGAGAAGCCTGCCTTTTTCAAGTTCTGAAACTAATTATAAGAGGAGAAAATTAAATCTTTTGTAATTTGTGTTTGTTCATCTCAGACATAATTAATAGCTGACATGCACCAAAGTTACAAAGTTATAAAAAAAGTGGTCAGTCTAAATCAGTCTGACCTCTTTCAAAATCAATGCATATTCTTATTTTCTGTGACTAGTTTCTTCATTTTTTTAGCCTCAATGCAACAAGCACTTGACTGTCATATGCCATAAAATGGTAGCATTTTTCAACTTACTAACATTTTGGAGGTGATTGTTTATGTCTACACCCATGCATGTGTCCGTTCCAGACACTTTTCAAACCTGTGACTAGAATTTTATTTATATTAATCATTTAAAGTGTTAAATATTTTAAATTCAACAAATGTATCACGTACCGCAGAAGCTTCTGTGCTGTAAGATCTGTAGATCTTCAGCTGTAAGTTTGAATCCACGTGACAGAGTGAGCTCCCGTCACTTGTCCCAGCTCCCGCCAACCTAGCGGTTCGAAAGCATGCAAATGCAAGTAGATAAATAGGGACCACCTCGGTGGGAAGGTAACGGCGTTCCATGTCTAAGTCGCACTGGCCATGTGACCACGGAAGATTGTCTTCGGACAAAACGCTGGCTCTACAGCTTGGAGACGGGGATGACCACCGCCCCCTAGAGTCGAACACGACTGGACAAAAATTGTCAAGGGGAACCTTTACCTTTACCTTAGTATTATTTCAGAAACTTGTAAAGTAGGCACTTCATCTTAGATCAGTAGTCCCTCCCAAATTTTGCAGATACACATTTTAATGCTATTTTCATGCCAACATGGAAACAAAGGACAATGGAAAAGCTGTGCTGAATCATAGAACCATAGAATAATTGAGTTGGAAGGGGCCGATAAGACCATCCAGCCCAACCCCTATGCAAGAATCCAAATCAAAGCAGATCTGACAGATGGTTGTCTAATTTTATTTATTTATTTATTTATTGCTGAATGCCTCCAGTGTTGGAGCACTGGAATTAGATGAGAAGTTTATCTGTTCCTGTGTTTCCTTCTCACCAAACAGAAGGAGTCATCCGTTTGCCTGTGGGAAGTCCACAAGCAGGATGTGAACATTATAATAGCACTCTCCTATGTATGTTCCCTAGCATACACCAACATGCAGTCTCTCATATATTTGAGGTAATATATAAACATATTGCCTAATAGCCATTTTTAGGCTTATTTTCCAAGAATCTAAAAACAATGATGGTTAACAGCCCGTTGGTATCTCTTTGAGCATCAAATTCCGTAGTTTGATTCTGTGCTTCTTTTTATCATTGGTGAACAATTTTTTTTTAAAATTAAGATCTAGTGGTGGACTTCCATATCTAGTAGATTATTTCCAGGAGAATTGAGATTTTGCTTTCAAAATGTGTGTCATTAATGTAGCAGAAATTGACCACTGAATTGTGGCCACTCATGAAACATATACAGTTCATAATAGTGAAGTAAGTTAAATTTCAGTACCAAATTTCATAAATAAGATATAACTCAGTTTTACTGAGTGTTTGAAGACAAACATTCAAGAACGAAACATTAACAAGTCATTGTCTTGCGTCCCCCTAACTGGTTATTCTTGCTCTGAAAGGCCAGGAAGCTCTGTGGAACACTTTTTTGGCACCTTGAAGTGGGCAATAATAAAACAAAATAAAATAATGAAAGGAACTGGCACAAAAAAGGAAAACTGTAGTCTCATGATGTAGAAAATACAATGTTCTTTATTCCAATATAAAATGCCTGACACGTTTAAACCTATCAGCCTTCTTCAAGGGCTGTATCACATAAAAGAAATTACAGTTACACCATTATAACTTACTGGGTACAACATCACATAAATAAATTAATGTATCCATAATTCTATAGCATATCCATTTTTTAAAAAAAATATTCTTATGTTAATTGATCATATTCTTATCTACAGCATTGCATCAGTATGTTAAAATTAGGCTAAATGGATATTAAAAGAATATTTCATTTAATTTATTTATTTATTTATTTATTTATTTTATTTCTATCCCGCCTATCTGATCATATTAGACCACTCTAGGCGGCTTACAGTAAAAACAACAATGTAATTTTAAGACTTTACAGCAGAAACGTAAATAAAAAAAAAATAAAGAACAGAATAAGAAAAAAGATCGTCAAGGGTTTTCTGTTGGGAAGATAATGCCTAGATTAAATAATGCCTAGATTAAAAGAAATGTGTGGAAAAAACCTACCAGAGGGTGTGCATTTTGTCACAGGAAGGAAAAAAGAGCAAGTTTTTCGAGTCAACACAGAAATGGAAAGCAAGTGTTCATGTGGGATATAAAGACACACAATGAAACTGAAACTGAAATTTTCAGCATCTGCAAAATGCAGGACACCAGAATGTACAGAGAGAGCATGCATGTTGATGTGTGCATGCATACAGTACTCTGGACAATGCACAAATAGAATTCACTGACATTGGAAATTAAAATGGAAACTGTGTCTTGACCTTCAGTCAACCTGTATTAAGAATATCAAATAGGACTGTAGAGGTGTGATAACAGACTTCTTTCAAGCCTTATTCATGTATTCTCTAAGCAGTATCAAAAAGTCTTTCATGTGGCAGAATCCCATAGTGTTCTAGTAAGGTGTAGAAAGGGCACATGTAAGGTGAGAGTACTTCTTAATACTGTTATAGGCTCTCTCTGGGCATGGTTCATGCTGACTGAATAATGAATCTTGACTGTTGCCTGTGTACCATGTGAATTTGCTATTGCTGTTAATGAGGGCAGCTCTGTAGATACCAACTGCTTAAAAACATATAACTCGAAAATGTTCAAGACCTTTAAATCTTTGTTGGAATAAATAATATGATGAAAATGTAATGTATTCGCGAAGGCTTTCACAGCCGGGATCTAATGGTTGTTGTGGGTTTTTCGGGCTCTTTGGCCGTGTTCTGAAGGTTGTTCTTCCCAACGTTTCACCAGTCTCTGTGGCCACGCCTGATAAAGTATTGTAGGATCTTTGCTCTTTTTTCCTTAAACTCACTCTTCGCCAGCAAATCTCTGATATTTTTGTTCTTTTGAAAGAAGTCTGTGGTCTCTCTTTGCAGCTCTCTATATTGTTTAGAATATATCAATATACCAAAATCTTCTTCCTAGTTACGTTTTCCTTTTATCCTCAGAAACTGTTTGTAGGGTGACTTATATTGTAGGGCCCTGGGGTGAAATCGGAAGGTTTTCTGTAAAGCGCAGTATATT